CCCACCAGACACGAGCAATGCTTCGGAGACATCGGTGGTCAAATACAGAAAGTCAATTAGCATCCTCCGGTCGGAGAGGCCAGGTCTCGCAACCGTAAAGCAGAGCACTACGAACGGCGGTGGTGTACACCCTTCCCTTAAGGGACATTCGGATGTCATGGCGAAAGCTAATCTAGCTTTCGCTATTCGTGGTGTGATCTCGTCCCCTTGGGAGTTTCCCATGGTGGCAGCACGTTCCATCTCTGACGTGCGTTTAGTCCATCAGATCTCGCGATCTGTGCGTAAGCTTGCGTTGAGGTTACGACTCGTTGCTCTTCGTATTTCATCATGCTTGCTGCCCGTCGGAATTGATGGGCGTGCGTCGAGAAGCCGTAGAGATTCCGCAGAAATCCAGGGAGTCACGGCTCGACGTGTCGGACCACAACTAACTAAGCCAGCAGAATGCAGAGCATTCTTGATGAGCGACCAGTGCTGGTTAACGTCATCGGGTGGGGTTGGTTCTAGCTTTTCAGCTAGCGCGTTCTGAAAGACAGTTAGGCGTGCTGGTTCAGACAACTGGTCATAGTCTAACCGTCTGTGTCAAGCGTTTGGAACGCCCACCGAAGCACATGGACAGCTTGGCGCAAACTAACGCGTGGTCAGATTCGAGGGAGTGCTTCATTGCGATCTGCAGTCTTGTATACGACCCCGCCATTTGTAGCTTAGAGCGATGTGGTCGATCTGCGTCCGTTTCTGATTCGAGGAGGGCGGATGCCAAGTGGCGTACCGGCAGTTGAATCGTCTGAAGTTCGTACTGGCGAGGAATAGGCGATGGTCGGAACAAAGAGCCAACAGCCGTTCCCCGTTTTCCGAGCGACAGGAATCTATTCCGAAAGGACCACCCAGATGCGCCTCACTCGAAGTCAGTCGGTCTACTCTGGCATTCATATCTCCTGCTGAAATGACGATGTCAGCCCGACTTGCTTTACGCAAGAGGTCGTGTGGGTTGTGGTAAAATTCATCTTTGACTGCAGTCTGTCGGGGCCGACGCGACAAACAGGTTTCGTCTGTCGAGGTGACGGCTGCTTACTTTGCACGAACCTCTAAGTCCCACTGCACACAGCCTGCTGTCGACTGGGAACCAGTCCAGGAGCGCGGCTTCAGCTCTCTCGCTGATAGCCACATCAACGCCAGCAAGACAGGAAGCCTCAGCCTCAGGGTCTCCAGAGAGGCGTAAATGAAACTTCACAGATTGTTAAATGGGGACGTCAATCGGATAATGGAGCTGGAGTCTTGAATGCGAGTCTCTTGGATATAACACACATCGATGGCTAGGGTCTCGAGCGTACGAACTAAACCGGCCTGTTGTCCATCAGAGTGCGCACATTAAATGTGGCTAGTTTGAATGGATATCGAGGTCGAAGAAGGGCTTCAACTGGAGGAATCGGTGAGACTTGGACGGTAGTCGAGGTAGGACATGAGGGAACAGCGGCAGAGTTTCCATCTGAGGCCCTATTGTTTGCACGATCACCTGAAGAACCCGAGAGAGGCCGTGAGTTAAGAGGGTGAAGATAGGATTGGGTAGGGCCGAGGGGACATGGGTGTATGTATGGTGTAGAGTGTTTATCTGTAGGTGTGGAAATAGCAGACCGAATGCACATGAAAGTCAATGAGTTCATCATTTCTGGCGTTGTGGGCTGTTGTACTGCTCGGTCGCCCGGTCCAGAGTAGGCCTTGTTCGAAGGTGTACTCTAGCCTTTGCGCATCCAAGCGCGGACTGCAAGGTAGCAGTAATGTTTCAGATGAGCCTGTGGCCAGTAGTTAGTTCATTCGTCTCTTCTGGAAAACCTTGTCGAGCAATCGATCTCGACAAGGAGCGATGACCATATTTAGTGGCGGGCCACACTCGCCACGTCACAGCGCTGTCCACAGATATATGTGGTGTTTTGTGCGGAGAACCCTTGCCAGGGATAAACCCACCACATCCTCGAGCGCTGCCGCTGAATGTCCGCGTCCACTTATTCGGAGGGCCGAGGCCCGCCTTATTCACAGTTAGCCGTGAGATGACGGCCGTTCCCCTATCCGCAACCTGGGGACGCGCTACGTAGCTTACAGCTCTGCTCTCCCGAGGACCAAAAAGTACGGTGAAAATCTGTGAAAACCCTAATCCAATGCACCACAGTGTCCAATTTAGTGGTTAAGGTTGTCAGATGCAGCCCGATTCGTTGCTCAGTGCGATAGATGGTATGCTGTTAATACCAATTTTGGTTTCATATCACACCGTAAGTAGATTTTTTCACTTTTCTGCTTGATCATGCCCATTATTGGGGGAATGAGGTCCGAATTTCAGGCAACATCACACTCTGAAATGAGATCTTGCACTCTGATTGCAGGGATTATTTTTGCATCATTACTGTCTTTTTTTGTTATCTTTGGGGACTACCGATAGAATCAAACCACTCAGCACGACCCCCCGAGAAAGCAACCCGTCTTGCCTGATCTGTGTCAGATTTATGTGAACCGATTCGCCAGTCGTTTTTGTCAAGGTCTGGACGATCTGAAGCGGATCAACGAGTCAAGTGTCGTTCAACCGATTCTCCTCAATATCGACTGTGCCAACGGGATTGGCAGCAAAGTGTTGGGTCAATTTCGTCACGAACTTACACGACTGAACTGTCCAGTCAGTTTCAAACTGTACAATGCTCAAACCAAGCGACGTGATTGGTTGAATAAGAAGTGCGGAGCTGATTTTGTCAAGGTGTGTGCTTCTGTGTTACGAATATCGCCTTCGTTTTTTTAGATTTTTTTGTAACTGTTACAATACACTGTAGATCGCTCTTTGTTACTCCTCTGTAAGAGCTTCGTTACGGCGGAACCCGGTTTCGTTGTCTAATTTTATTTTAATAATCATTGGTGTAGTTGAACATGCTTATTGTAAACCAGTTTGCTCATAATCCTTTCCAAGTATCCCCATGTCTCACAAAGAACCTTTCCCGATGGAGAGCTTGTTCGTCAAATTGATACAGTCCACCCTGTTCACTTTGACGGACCATCTTGCGGACTTTTTCCAGTCCTCCGTACGCACACACTAGATATTCATACGAGACATGTGTGAAACTGATTAATTCTGGTTAGCCCCGGTGTGAGCTGGTCGGTGCTGCGGTAACACACTCATTCCATTCGAGGTGTTCGGATTGCAGGTCCCGAGTGGGTTTGTGGATATGCACTGCTAATGAGCCCTAACGAGAGAGAAATTCAAGTCTAGGTTTTTCCAAATGTATGATTAACTAGATTAAACAGTGATTGTTTTTGAAGATGGGCTGGAAAAAATGGTCAGTAACATCCAATATCAGTTAGCTCACGCCATTACTCAAAGGCGACCGAGTAAAAAATGCGAACAAACCGTTTTGTTGATGGGTTATTCATCTTCTTCTTTTAAACAATACACGTTCTCATTGAGGTCACTGTGATAGTAGATCACTTCAAATCTCAGATTCTTATGAAATTAAACGGTTTTGTGAATCCATCTGCGGTCCATTTTAGTCACCGATCGTTTTTTCAGTACTTGGATATCTTTTCAAGCAATTTTTAACGTTATGTTAGTTGAACTTTTTCACCTCCTTTAGCTACACTACAAAGCACCATATCTGTACGATCGTGAACCGGGGGCTTTCCCTCTAGACCCCGGTAACCGTTGGGCTACAATCGACGGGGATGCGGATCGTATTCTCTATTTCCATATCCCGGATGCACCCGAGTCGACCGGTGAAGCTGGCGACGAACCGCACATAGTCCTTCTGGACGGGGATAAAATCGCCTGTCTGTTTGCGACTATAATTAAGCGACTTCTGCCGGAAAATAAACAGCTTACAATCGGTGTGATCCAGACGGCTTATGCAAACGCAGCCGCCTCACTCTATTTAGCGAAGAAGGTGGATGTCCCGGTGATCTGTGTGCCAACTGGAGTGAAGCATTTGCATCGAGCCGCTCAGAAATTTGATTTCGGAATCTATTTTGAAGTGAGTCTATGTGATTGATTTATTTGGCTACCATTATATATATTGAAGACGAGAAGGCGAGAACCGAGTGATGGTATTAATTGTAACATTTCGATCCAAACTAGGACTCCTTGTCAAACGACAATACGTGTGAGTGAATTGGGTCTGCTTGTTTCTCGCTTTGTGGTACGTGTCACGCCTGTTTATCCATCAAATCTGCCTTCCCCGTTGGTTGTACAATCGTTCCGTACTGTTTATCGATTTCGACACGCTGATTGAATGAGTCGGTCGAAAGAAGCGCTTCAGGGATCAGACATTCCTTTTTCCTCCAACCGCTGCTTTTGCTCCTTTGATTCTGACCTCGTCACCTGTCGCTGCACCGTGAATTCGGGTCAGTGCGTCGTAATACAAGTGTGTGTTCGTGTAAGCGAGTACACGTATGAATAACTCGCAGTACAATAATCGTTATAACAAAGAAATCAGTCAATGCTTTGTTCGTATACGGAATACAGCCAACCCGCTTGGACAACACCTTGGCTCGGAACTACAAGTGCTCGACTAGCGGGTTTTGAGTTGCCACAGGGCATAACAATGACAAGAGATATCTTGTTGCCGTGAACTCCACCGAAGTTTCGCTCAAGGGACACCGTGCTTCGTGAATCCCCAGTCCCTAGAGAAACTGGTCGCCATCATCATCATCATATAGCCAACTACAGAGAGTAGAACTTCGCTGATCGCTGCCAAACTCGCAATGCATACAGGGTTGGTGGTAAAATTTAAGGTGGACAGCCATTGGACCTGTTTTGAGGGAGGGAGACGGAGGTAAACGTCTATGGTCAACACACAGAGTACGCAATCGAACTCTGCATATATACCGTTTCAAGCATTCCGACCTGATAAAAAACGACAACAAGAACGCCAAGGCTGTCGTTTCGCTGTCATATATTTCAATGTCTCCAACCAACCGGTTGTGGAGTCTTACGGACCATAACCTGGAAGGTGCGAGACACTTGCTCTAACTAAGGGCTCTGTGCATTTCTTCATGNTTCTTCATGCCTCCTCTCTACATCATCTGTTGACATCTACGTGGTTTCCTCCAGCCCGGAAGCTGATCGTCATGCTCCAACGAAACTGAAACAAAAACGATCAGATTTCGTATAAAGTTCGGTGCTTGACGTCTTCCCATCTGCCAAATGCTGCCGATACTGAATACAGCCTAGTTCTAAATTGGAAAACTTCTTGATTGACCTATATGACCATAGCAATAACTTTTGATGCAATGACTTTTATTCAGTCATTAGTCCTTGCCACTTTAGTTGTTGTACTAGTTCTCTTACTCCATCACCGCTAGTTCGCTTGGACGATGGATATCTCTGCTCTCTTGCGGCGTGATACCATACTGAAACAGCTTGACGGTGTTTTGTAGTTCGTCTTTCCTTTGCCCTGTATACAAAGCAATTTCATTGTAACATCTAGCCTTTGTGAAACTCAGCTTAGTTTGATCTGATGTTTTAAGGTATGATTTGATCTGCAACTGTATGTATGGCTCACAGGGTCCTTGAGGTATACAAGTCATCACTACGTCTCGTCGCACTCGTGCATCTGCTCAATTCCTTCACAAGTTCAGTTTGATTTCATTATGTATCTGTCTTTATGCAGCTCATTTGTTCTTTCTTCTTCATAAAAGTGGACAGTAAACAGATAGCAACGAAAACCGCCGCATGAAAACGCACGGTTGATGGTTCCATGAATTCAGCCAAAATGCAAGGTGATTCAAGGTGCTTCGAACTGCAGGTTTTTATTGTGTTTTGTCTAGAGACGAGTAACTGGTTGGAGTTCAATTTTCCAGTCGAGCGTGATTTTAATCCCACGTGTCGTTGAATCGTACCCCACTTTTCGACTTGAATTTGATCTTTGCGGTTTTTCGTTTGCCCCCAGGCTAACGGGCATGGAACTGTGTTGTACTCGCCGTCCGCACTGGACTGTATCCGATCTCTGCCTTCGGATCACCCCCTGGCCGTGTTTGCCAGTCTCACTAACACAACTATTGGCGATGCCGTGGCGGATATTTTGATGATCGAATACGCTTTGGCTTATCTCGGTTGGTCCATGTCTGACTGGGCTGCTCTGTATACAGAGTTCGCTTCGCGTCAGCTCAAGGTGGCTGTCGAGCGACCGCATCTCATTCAGACGGTAGACGCGGAGCGCCGTGTTTCGTGTCCAATTGCGCTACAGGTTAGTTGAACGATAGTCTAAATTCGCTTTATCGTTTCCTTTTCCGTGCACGGTGACGGTGCGAGTAATCGGTCTCGTTTGTTCAGTACACATCGTGGTGTGATGAACAGTAAGTAGAAGGGACAGGTCGGGGGAAGGAGGAGACGGGTCTCTTTGTCACGAGGACTGGTGACCTAATCCCTACTGATTTAGGTCCTGGTTAGATAGATGTGCTATTGAGCCCAGTAACTAATTCTATCCACTGTTGCGGACCCTTCTGTCCCAATTAGTAATCGCCATCGTTTTTTCTGTGCGTCGGATGTTCATGATGAGTGGATGACTTATGAGACATGTGCCTTCCTTTGATCTGTGTGATTATGCTACAAGCCACAGTTCAGCCAGTGATCTCGTGCTTTTTTTGTTAACTACTAAACGAGGACATGTGAGATCAATATCTGAAATTGGTTCTGCTGGTTTGGTCCATGCAACCGGACTATTCGCATAATCTTTGCTACGTGTGAACTTTGATTTAGCGAATCACTATTCCGGCGCATACAACTCGTTTGCTTTGTGCTTGTATCGCAAGCAGCTTTATTTACTGCTGAAAATTGTTTGTATCATTTTACATATTCAATAAAAGAAATTAAGAAAACAAGAAACAGTGACTAAAGTACTCGTGAATCGAGCCTGTTTATTATCGTTCAAACATTCCTTCTTTATCGTCTCCTAGCTGTTCTTGGAACCTTTTTTGTAGTCTTAGTCTGGTTTAAATGTTATGCTCGGATGTATCCATACAACTTCACCGGGACTGCTATATAGTCTTATTTTCGGAAGGTGGATGGGTGGGTCTTACTTCTTCGGAGTTCATTTACCCCCTGTAGGTGATCGAGTGCGGTTCGTTTGTGATGGAAACTTTGTGTGTGATTACAAAATGTAATTAATGGAGGCGATTGGCTACCATAAATCTATGATCAACGGAGCTATGCAGTAACAGGCGCTTCTCTTGGTCGCTTTAAGAGAAAGGTCATTTAGGTGATTAGTCGTGAATAACTAGGCTTTGTTTCATTGAGTAGTAGGCGGTTAAGTGTGTGCGTGTTTGTATGTGAAAAATTAGTTACACTGTCGGAGGATGTGGCAGGTTTTTACCTGGCAGGTGATCATTGGGTCAGAAAAAAGCCACGAATGTTAGTAGCAAGCATCATGCTGTGTGCGATTTGGAGTTGTCATAGCAATCCCCCTGCATCTCTGCAGTTAGCACCTGGCTATGCAGAGGTACTGGAGATGCCACTCTGCATCATATTCCCAAGGTTCTTCGCAGGTTCATCGGCTTGCCCTTTTGCAGAAAGAAGTCATCTAGAAGTAAAAAAGATCAAAATAATGCGGCCATGCTCTCAAGATGTGGTCATCGACCGAAGTGGTTCCGGCTCCTAACCTAGAAGTTTATGATTAGAGTCTCCACAGGCGCCCACATTGGTACATACTCATTGCTTACGAGTTCCATCATAACTGAAACCGCCGTCCAATAATCTTTGTCAGCCATCGATCGAAATAATTCCTATTGTAAATTGGTTTGTTTACGCTTCTTACCTCACGGCACCTAGGACATATACTGACATGACATACGGTCTGTTTGAACAAAACCAGGTCGTATTTACCAGCCTGGTAGTCACTACGGCTT